TGGTGGTTTTCTGTAAAATGTGAATCTACGGGGAAAGGGGGAGCGTGGGGCGGGATGGGATGGGGGGGGGGTGAGGACAGAAAGGTTATTGTTTTAGGCTGTGCGTGTTCTCACGTACTAACTGCACACATTCCGATTTGACATATTTCCGCTGTCATTTGACTTCAAATGTCAATTTTCTGATAGCTCTGCCTTATATGGAGCCCAAGTTAGCAACAAACTGTTCTCTTCTGCTCCACTTTAGACATCTTATACACACATGCACTGATCAATCCGTGATATGTCATCACAGATATTCCGCTCGGGGTTGATCCACGTCTTGAATCCATCTAATTTAATAACCTAAAACTTTGTTTCTCAATGGTTCATCATTATTTCAAAGTGATTGCGTTGTGAAGACTTACCGAAAATCAGTACTTCATCGACTTGAACATTTCAAAATGACGAGGAACGTGCGTAAACCCACAAATCGATCAAGTGACTCGCACACCAGTGGTCATTTCCTAACTACCACACTATTCATTCGCTTCCGCTGTCCATCGTGAAATAGCTGCATATTGTGGCAAATATTTACCGTAAGCCCATCCACCCAAGGACCTTTCGATAAAATTCGTGTGATTTATGTTGTTTTCTTTGTAAGCACTAAAGTAACAACCATTTGTTCCAGCACAATAAAACAATTTAACCTGAATAAACTAGACCTACTTCATCGTGTGCTGTTTTAAGAAAATGTGAAATGTACCCCGTTCTCACATTCCATATTCAGTGAGTCTTGAAGGAATATGACACATAAAGGCCAAATAATCTATTTTACGTCATACTCTCATAGATTTAGAGGAGGAATGAGTATATAAATTAATATCATCATCAGCATCATCATGATCATCACCATCATCATCATCATCATCATCATCATCATCAAATCTATCGTGGCGTTCAAACAAAACACATAGAANGTCATCATCGTCAACCGAATCATTATCATGATCATCATCATGATCATCATGATCATCACCATCATCATCATCATCATCATCATCATCATCATCATCATCAAATCTATCGTGGCGTTCAAACAAAACACATAGAAGTAAGCCCTTGGATGTTTGCCTCCTTCATAGGAACGTGCAAATCCGATGAATTTCAGACTTGACACTCCACGGGCATAGACTAATGGATTTCCATCCCATTATGTCTTTGATACGTATCCCTTGTGACTGGGCTACACTGTAGGTGGTTATTTCGGAACGCGAAATAAGACAATTTTGTATCTGATACATTGGAATGAACAACAATTGGCTGTATTTTTGCATACTTTTTCTTCTTCAAATTTTCTCATTTATGCCGACTTCGGGAAAAATAACCACGGAGACNTCATCATCATCATCATCATCATCATCATCATCATCATCATCATCATCATCATCATCATCACCATCATCTTCATCATCATCATCATCATATTCATCGTCATCGTCATCATCATCGGAATCATCATCATCATCATCATCATCACCATC